ATAGCGCGACTATTTCTGGTTCTTCGACCCGTTTTTGAAGGGACAGCCTGTGGTTGCACCAGGTACATTGTTTAATAAAAAAATACTAAAATCGTATCAAAATTAAAGAAGATGTCGTGTCACATATATAAAACCATCATACAGTCAAATTGAGAATCTCCACATTTTTAGGGTTCCGTAGTCAACTAGGAACCCTTATAGTTTCGCCATGTCTGTCTGTCCGTCTGACCGTCCTCGCTTAATCTCTGTGACCGTTAGCACTAGAAAGCTGAAATTTTGTACCAATATGTGTATCAATCACGCCGACAAAGTGGTAAAATAAAAATTGGAAAAAAATGTTTAATTAGGGTAGCCCCCCTATATGTAAAGTGGGAAGTGAATTTTTTTTAATTTCAACCCTAACGTGTGATATATTGTTGGAAAGGTATTTAAAAAATAATGAATAGGGGTTTACTAAAATCATTTTTTGATAATGTCAATGATTTCGGAAATAATCGCTCCAAAAGTAAAAAACAATGTGTGTCCCCCCTCTAACTTTTGAACCATAAGTTTAGAAATTATGAAAAAAATCTGAAAAGTAGAACTTTATAAGGACTTTCTGGGAAAATAATTTTGAATTGGATGGAAACAACAGTTTTTGTACAAAAAAGACAAAAAATTTGTACAAAATAATTTCTGGACTAAGTTTGTGGTATAATCGTATATGCAAGCATTTTTTTTTAACTTCGTTTACATATTTTATTATCCTGAACGTATCTTTTTTCAAAAAAAAAAAAAGAATTATTAAAATCGGTTCTCGAAATCCAAAATTACAACCGAAATCTTCTGGCACGTCTATGTATTAATTAGTCTTACTTATTACATTGGGTCGGGTATTATCGAATTGTTCGGTTGGTCTCTCCTTGGCATTGGGGGTATCTTATAACTACATAAAACTTCTATCAGGAACATGCTAAGGCAATTTAGAACAAAATTAAAATGCATTTTTTTAACACCATCAAAATGTTAAGATAACCAGTTCATAAATGGTTCGAAAGATGGCGTTGCGTAATGACGTCATTTTTTTAAAAGTCGATGTTAAGATTTTCCGTGCTTTCATGACCTACCGTGGTAAAGGAAGTTGCACTTAAACATATTCGTAATTTTATGAGTGCACAATCTAATAGTCGTCGGGGTTTTGATTAAATTAGATTGTGGGTAAAATTAACTTCTTTTTGCGGATATTTTTCATATTAATTTTGTATGTGCGCACAGTACGCAGTTACTTGATACGTACAACTAATAGCTAATTACGATTTGAAGTGGGCTAGTTTGTTAAAATACATAGTGTTGCCTATACAGTATAGTTACATTGAACACTTGTGTATAATTACTTATTGTCCGGTATTAAAATGTTCTCGTATACTTTGAACAGTAATAATCATGTTGAGGACGACGCTGTGCGCGCCTTTCATGATTTGTTAGCCCAATACACACTCGTTTCGGCCTAGAGAAGTGTTTCTTTTTCTTTATCCGGAACTAATAGAGCCTGTGCCTCAAAACAGAGTCTCATTTACAAATTATATATGGCGGAGAATTTGGGTTTGTGGGGCATTGGATTTGCATTTATTACATCAATGGAATATTACGGGTCTATGATAGCTTACATAATAGTTTAAGTCATTCGCAGCACGTTTACGTTAACGCATTATTCCCATACTTGGATAATAATAAAATACAATTCCCTAGTGTCCAACGTCAAGCAAATAATAGTATTGAGTGTGGACTATTTGCCATTTGTTTTTCCACCGCTTTAGGTTTGAGAGTTTATCCATCCTGTATCAATTTCATTACCGAAGACATGCGACGTCATTTGTTTGATATGTTATCTCGAGGTGTATTAGAACTTTGCCCATCAACTAACACCGCAAGAAGAGCTGGCCGGCCACCAGCAAATTTGTTCCTTAATATACTAGCAAAGAAAGAAAAATGTAAAATTAAGGATGCCGAAAAGAAAAAAAACCAAAAGGTCTCAAAAGACACAGTCTCAAGAAACTGAAAGTCAAAACGTTAATAACAAGAAAAACATTGAATACCTCACATTTACAGATAATACGCAAATATTTGAAAGTCCAACGTTTACAAGTAGTACGCAGATATTTGAAAGTCCAACATTTACAGATGAATCATAGAAAGACAAAAATCCGACTATTGATATCCAGACCATTGACTGTTTAGCACTTACGTATAGTACTCAAAAAAAACCAAGTCCTACATTAAGACATGCCAACAACGAACATACTGGGTCCGGCTAAGCCAAACGTAGAAGAAAAAATACTGATTACACACAGCCTAAGCAAATACGAAACACTGAGAGCCACAGGGCCACTCGTCGGATTCCCGTCATTAGACAGGCAGAGTTGTTGCTCGCAACAGGCAGGCTCATCGTGTAGCTCGTGAAAACTCTAGGATACAGAATAGCAGCGAGACACGCAGGCTCACCGTGCAGCTCGAGAAAACTCTATCTTCCGGGATACAGAACAGCAGCTAAATACGCAGGGTCACCGCATAGCTTGGGAAAACCCAGTCTTCTATGATATAGAGCAACGGCGTGATACCCAGGCTCACCAAATAGCTCACGAAGATACACATTATTCACAAATTGAACGAACTAGAGACACCAGAGATCGACAATCGGCGAGTTGTAATTCTATTAATGATTGGGATAATGCTAAACGAAAATATATTGATAACACAAAGGAAGGACACAATCATCCTTGTTCATGTTGTGGTAGATTTTGGCATAAAAATTCTGTAAGGAAACTAATAAAGCATTCTATTTCGACTAAATATAATGCAGAATTCACGTTAAGTGTATTTAATTTAAATACTTGTGATGAATTTGCGGAGTTTTGCTGTACGTGTGCTAAATATATAACTCAAAGGCGAATGCTACGATTGGCAGTAGCTAATGGATTGATGTTTCCAGATATTCCGGATGTTTTGAATTTAATTAATTTCAATGGAGGAGAGATTAGTAAGTCCTCGTCACGTATTTTTGAAAAAAGTTCGTAGAGGCCAGGGATTAGGATATCAGCATGGTATATCAGGAAATGTGGAGGCCCACATCCCCCCCCCCCCAGGATGGATATAATAATAGACTACCCCAGGAGGGTACCAGCACCCCTGGAGAATCCCTCGCTGAGCATCCACGACCATGTTTCTCCACTTCTGAGCGTGGGTGCTCAGGCTGCCCCGCGTATTCTGGGGGGGGGGGGCAAAATACCGCACAAGACTACAACTGCTCTGGTCAAACGGAGCAACAATACCAAGGGGACCCCTGCCACGCTGTCCGTGAATTTCTGCAATATCAGGGGACTTCACTCTAACCTAAACGCCGTCCACTACCATCTCGAGACGGCGAGGCCGGCTCTGCTCTTCCTGACCGAGACGCAGGTGTCCTTCTGCTGATCTCTCACCCGAACGGATATCAGATTTCCGTCGAAGCCCCTTTAGGCTCCTCGGACCATTGTCTTGTCCGGAGTGTGGTGCCACTCACGCTGAAATCGCAGTTGCATTCTGCAGGCTACCGCCGTGTTTGGCACTATAGGTCAGCCGATTGGGATGGGATGCGGTCTTTCTTTGCATCCTACCCTTGGGGGCGGGTTTGCTTCTCGCCGGACGATCCCAACGTTGTTGCGGATTCTGTCGCTGATGTGGTACTTCAGGGTATGGAACTTTTTATTCTTTTCTCTGTGGTGCTCATTGGAGGCAAATCTCAGCCATGGTTTGGTCGCTCCTGTAAAATAACATCATGCTATAAGCAGGAGTGCCACCGAGCCTGGGCTGACGCATCAGCGTCCCGGGATGTAAATACCAGCGCAAGAAAAAAGAAGTATAATTCCGCCTCTAGATCCTTCAAAAGAGTCATTGCCAAGGCAAAGTCAGAGCACATAGGCAGAATTGGCGAGAAACTAGTTCGCCTTCCTTCTGGAACCCGTGCATTCTGGTCTCTCGCCAAGGCTGTCCAGGGGAATTTCTGTCAGCCATCTCTTCCATCTCTGCACAGGGAGGACGATTCATTGGCCCATACCGCAAAGGAGAAAGCCGATCTTCTAGGCTCTTTCTTTGCGTCCAACTCGACTCTCGATCACGGGGAGAGTACGCCGCCGAACATCCCGCGGTGTGAGTGCTCCATGCCGGAAGTGCAGTTCACAAAGCGCTCGGTTCGCAAAGCACTCCTCTCCCTGGACATCCACAAGTCTCGGATTGGGCTATCGACTAAATCTAGTCCAGTTTAACCCCCAGAAGACACAAGTTTGCGCGTTAACCGCTAAAAAGAACCAAGTCGTACTCCCCTCATTGCCTCAAGCCAGTATCGGAATCCTCGGCGTTGACATATCGAGTGACGTGCAGTTTCGTGGTCACTTGGAAGAGAAGGCCAAATTGGCCTCTAAAAAGCTTGGCGTGCTCAGCAGAGCGGGACATTATTTCATGCCGGCACACCGCCTGCGACTTTGCAAGGCACAGGTTCGGTCGCACATGGAATACTGTTCCCATCTCTGGGCTGGGGCTCCCCAGTACCAGCTTCTTTCACTTGACCGCATCCAGCGCAGAGCGACTCGAATCGTCGACGACCGAGGTCTTTCCGATCGGTTCGATTCACTGACTGGGTTGCATCTCTTTGCATTTTATTTCGCATATACCATGGAGAGTGCTCTGAGGAATTGTTCGAATTAATCCCAGCCGTCAAATTTCGTGAACGCACTACGCGGCTAAAGTCCCGATACCATCCACACCATCTGGATGCTTGGCGGTCCACCACAGTACGTTTCGATGACCTGGGGACCTTCAAGAAAAGAGCTTACTCCTTTCTAAAGGGCCGGCAACGCACCTGCAATTCCCCTGGTGTTGCGGTTGATTATGTGCGGCGGTAGTCACTTAACATCAGGTGAGTCGCATGCTCGTTTGCCCCTCTTCTATAAAAAAATGTTATTAATGTACCTGTAAAAATTAATAACATGATAAAAGCTTTGCCTTGGTCGATAAATGATGACAATGTCATCTCTGTAGAGTTGAAGCGTAAATTCTGTTATAAACATGGTCCAAAAGTACAAGTCCGCCCGGAAATCATACGGAGAGCAGCGGAATATTTAGTAACGTGTGATCTGTTTCGAACATATGGTATAGAACTTGAAGGTTCATGGACAAATAATGAACCTGAAGACACTGTCAAATGTACCTGTAGTTCACCTAAGCAGGAAAGCAATGTTGATGAGATCCCTGATGTAAATCCTGGTGTCATAGATACTCTGTTAGATGAAAACCAAGACCTAACATTAGTTATGGCTCCAGTAGAAGGTGAAAGGCCAATTTCCTTGTTTTTTGATCGACATCTGGAAGAGCTGGCATTCATAAAAGTACATTGCGCTATTGAGCGAAAATACCTCGTGAACTTAAGTCATTCTGAAGTCCCATGCTCAGAAATTTCCATAAATGACAGGCGAGCTGTAAGACCTGATTACCTATTTACTGCACTGAAAAAGCAACAAACTATTGCCGTCAAAAATAATGTTACTACCTGTTTACGCAAAAAAACTGTCAGATGTGCCCCTGTATCAGCATGTAATGTGCTTCAAAATAATTTTGTTGACAATTTAGTTCAACATGACGATGGGTATCGTGTTCTTGGAGGAATTAGAAATTCTCCTGCTCACTGGGAAAGTGAAAAAAAAGTTGTTGGCAATGGTTAGACAGTTCGGTGTTCCTACTTTATTTTTAACTATATCTGCTGCTGAAGTGCAATGGATTCCATTATTAATTTTGCTTAGTGAAGTAGTTGATAAGAAAAAACTTACTGAGCTTGAAGCGGAAAACTTGCCATACGATACAAAAACTCGCCTTATACAATCCGATCCGTTCATTTGCGCCACATATTTTGAAATCAAATTAAAAGAAATTCAAAAACCCTGGTCCTGTTCATCTGGACCTTTCTTAAATTATAAAATCACTCACTTTTATTACCGCATTGAGTTTCAGCATAGAGGATCGCCTCATGCTCATATGATGTTATGGTTAGACGAAGCGCCCACTTTTGTACCTGTTGATACAGAATCTGCTCATGATATTTCCAAATTTGTTGACAATATTATTTCCTGTAACAGAACTGAAGTACTAGATGAACTTAGACGTCTACAACTACATAAACATACATATACATGCCGGCCAACATCAGATAGACTGTGTCGCTTTGGAATACCATTTTTCCCCATGGATGAAACAAAAGTATTAATACAACTTTCAAAAGACGATCCAGAGTTCAAAAAGTCAAAACAATTGGCAAAAGATATCTGCCAAAAGATACAAAATATTCCTGCAGGAATATACACTTTCGTGCGAATATTTATGTATTTTTAGTTAGTTATGAAGATTACATTTTGCTATTAGAAGCACCTTAAAACGACCTACGGTAGTTGTTCAACGCAGACCTCAGGATGTATTTATTAATCCTTTTAGTAAAAAAATCTTAGCTTTTCACAAAGCAAACACGGACATCATATTCATATTAGACCCGTTTGCGTGCGCAGTATATATTGTTGACTATATTAACAAGGCTGACCGAGGGATATCTCGTCTTTTGCGTGAAGCTTTGGACGAAGCTAAAAAAGGAAATAAAAGTGTTAAAGGTTCATTAAGAATAGTATCTAATGTTTCTTAAATTCTAGTGAGATCTCTGCTCAAGAGGCAGTCTATGTACTGACTGGTTTACCGCTGTCACGAGCTAGTGAAGCTGCAATGTATATAAACACTAGTTTGCCACAAGAGCGATTGCATATTTTAAAAAGTTACCTTGAATTGCAAAGCCTCGAACCTGATTCTTCCGATATATTCCAAAAGGGTATTATTGATTATTATTCAAAACGACCACTATCGTTAGAAAACATAAGTCTTTCCCATTTTGTAGCATATTATACCTATTCCAAAAAAAACTCATTCAGCTAGTTCAATAGAAACTCTCAATGACAGTTTTCAAGCAATTGTTTATACCCAAGCTGTTGAAGAAGCGAAAGGGAATTGGATTCCTTTGCAAGATAATTTAGGATACATACGGAAAAGAACTAAAACTCGAATAATACGATTTCGCCGGTACAGTTACAATGATGATCCACACAATTTCTATAGGGAACAGATAATACTATACATCCTTTGGCGAAGCGAGGAGGAAGAATTACTAAATCCCAACATAAATTTAAAGGACATATTTGATGAGTATAATGAAAGAATAATGGCCGAAAGTAAACAATTCAATAAACTAGGTGATGCTGAAATGTTTGAGACATTGCTAACAGAAATAAGAAATGTAGAATTAATAAACGAAGAAGAAGATGTGCAAGGAAGAGGAGTCAACGTGGATGTATTTGGAGGCTTTAAATTTGAGACGCAAACAGTAGATATAGCAGAAGACCTCATTCCAGGCGGAAATTCCGGGCCGCAATTGTGTGGTGACCCCTCAACTTTCATTGCGCAACCGCCTCTCTTGTCTCATGACGATTTTTTGATTGTAACTATAAAATTAATGATGCTCAAAGAGACACGTTATTTAATACTTATCAACACTTTTCCATTACTTCTCAACCACTTCGTTGCTTTAGTAACTCATCACTTCCAGACACGTGTAAGGGCGCAGTTCATCTATTCAGCAGTAATCGAGAAGTTGTTGAGTATAATTCTAAAATACTCTCAAATATGACTACCGAAGGAGCGATTCCCGGGCTGTGGATAGAGTAAGTGGCGAAGCTAATCCTGCTATGAAAGAAAAAGCTCTAAACACAGTTGCCAAGTTACCTACGTCTCAAACCTACGGATTACCTAATGCTATAACTTTAAAAGTCACGGCTAAATATATGATGACAGTAAATATTAACACGTCAGACGCACTAGTGAATGAAACCACGAGGGTACTGACTGCGATTGATTTTGCAGTCAATCCAACTACCGGTGAGAGAAGATCATTACGCTTGGATATGTTTCGATGACGTAAATATAGGAAAATTAAAAAGAAAAGAATTCAGAGCTCAACATCCCTCACTCGTTATCAAACGGTTAAAAAATAATTGGACTCCAATAGAACCAGTTACGTACACTGTGAAAAGGTACAAATCTTCAAACTTAAAAGTGCATCGCAGCCAATTCCCACTAGTTCCCGCTGAAGCTGTTACCATACATAAAAAATCAGGGTTCCACCTTAGAAAAAGTTGTAGCACATTTAAAGCCCAATATTTTAAGATCTATGTTATACGTCGCCTGCTCACGTGCCGCTAGCGCTCAAGGTTTATTAATTGTTACCGAGATCTTTCGTCCTCCACGTCCACCATCTGAGCATGATTCCGTCGTAACGGAAATGCGAAAATTAAAATTAAATCCCCTGATTCCCATATATCGCTTTTTAAGAGAGCCCCGCAGTTCCTGCCAAATTATATTCCATAACGTACAATCTCTACTTAAACACTTGCAGGATGTAGTAACCGATCCGCAGACGATGGCATGCGACATTTATTTAGCCGTAGGAACCTGGAGTTGCCTTCGAGATTTATTCAATATGGATAATTTTGAAGAAATAGTTCGAACAAATGGCCCGAAATAGTATTCTGAAAACCCCGGCTTTGGTGTATCTGCAATGATAAGACATAATCTAGAATATTCCAACCCACGATCTTACAGTGAAATTTCCGGAACCGAGAACAGTGAAGCAGTAACTTTTGAAATAATTAATGTGAAAATAGTAGCCTTATATAGATATATACTCTTTTAACTATGTAAGACATATCATTTTTATTTTTTACGTGGATCTGAGCTAAAAAAAATTTATGTCTTTATTATAATGGATTTCGAAAGTGACGGCAAAATCTTTTAAATTTAATATTAGTATCATAGCATAAGATGTCTTATAAACGAGAGATATATTATTATATTTTATTAAAAATAAATTTATTAAAATTCTTTGCGAGAACGTATTTTATCAATAAAGAAAAAAAAATATTTACATAATAAGTTAATCTTCAAGTAAAGTAACTTGCTTTATAAATGGTATATTATAAAGATAATTCAGTTATGAAACAAAAACCATATCGTAAGCTTTACATAATTAGTGATCATTTTTTATACGGGTAAGGACATGCACACATGACAATGACTTTAAATAAAAAACTTTTTAACAAAAAATTAAGCCGCCGAAAAAACTGAAAAGCATAAAATAATACACCTTTTTTACCTTAATAACTAAGTTTTTAAACGAATGTATTGCATACCTAAGTATATATTTTTGTAATTATTTTGAGTTTTTAACTAACCTTAATAACTAAGTTCTTAAACTATTGTAAGTATATGTAAGTAATTTTGAGTCGGCGCCAAACAAGCAATATAATTAATTACGTAAAGCGTGACGCGCGGCATAATATGTCCCCTCGCTGAAAAATGCCGAGCTTTCACGAAGTTAATGTCAGCGAGAAAGCAACCCGAACGGGTACACACGTGAAGCCACACGTCGTTCCAAGCGTTCGTGCGAAAGGTGTATTTTTTGAAATGTTAATGTTTTTCGCTGAAGATTTTACATTTCATTGTTAATTTGATTTGATTTTTTTTTTAAATTTAAGGTAATTTATTGATTTTTTTATTGATCATTTGGCGCCGACTCAAAATTACTTTGGTATACTTATATTAGTTTAAGAACTTAGTTATTAAGGTTAATTAAAAACTCAAAATAATTTCAAAAATATATACTTAGATACATTTACATTAGTTTAAGAAGTTAGTTATTAAGGTAAAAGAAAAAGCTTTATTATTTTTTGCTTTTCAGTTTTTTGGCGGTTTTATTTTTTGTTAAAAAGTTTTTATTTTATAATTTTTTGTAGATATAATCTACTAATTACTACGTGCTTAATTTTTGATTACTTTTAAAAAAGCTGCTTACCTTACTTTAGATGTTATGTTATAATATAATCCTACTTTAACTATTATTTGTTTAAAGTTGTAATCGACCTCGGTAAAAAAATGTTTGCAAAAAGGCAGGCATATGTGGCACTGAATAGAGTAAAAACACTTGAGGGTGTTGCTTTATTATATCTAGAGCCAAATAAGGTATTACACAAACCTTACGATGAACGAGTTTTATCAGAAATGCAGAGACTGAGCGGTCTACACACAAGAGACTGACAGGTCTAAAACTTATCCATAGTAAGGTTTCTTTTGTAATAATTTTATTTTTCTCAGCATTAAAATCTATCAGTAAACAATAAATCACTTCTATTTTCTCACCCTTAGGATTTTCTTCCAAAGTTATATGTGACTAATTTCGAAGTATATATCCTATCCATTAAAAAAAGAATTAACAAAATCGGACTACTTTTTAATAAATCTTCCTTTTTTTCCCATCCTTAGGTATTTTTTTTCAAATTTATATAGACCAGTTCGAGGTATACCCTATCGAATATAAAAAAATTTGTCAGAAATCGGTGATTACTCTGTAATAAATCACCCGATATTTTCACACCCTTAGGTTAAATTTTTTTACAAATTTATATGGGACCAATTTCGAGGTATACACTATCCAATAAAAAGGATTATCAAAATCGGACTACTCTTTAATAAATAACCCCTATTTTCCTATCCTTAGATTAAGAATTTTCTTCGTTCTGCTCTCGTCCAGGGCAAAAAACGCAAGCGCGCTTCTCTCCGAAATAGGCGCTGAGACCAACCCAAAATCTGCTGAACGTAGGGAAAAGCCGCCGCCAACCATCATTATTCGGGGTAAAACTAAATGGAATAATCTGTCTAATGGGTTAAACACCGAAAAATACATTGTCCAAAGGTGCAAAACGCTGGACGGGGCATTCGCATGTTCGTAATCTTGACCGAGGTATTTCGCAGCGTAACTAGTCACCTGCACGCCCAAGAATTTTTTTAAAATAATTTCACATACTGCAGTATTACAAGCCAGTACTTTACTTTATCCCGCTTTGATGATAGGTAATGAATAGCAATAAAGCCGAACATTGTAAAGCACACTGACTTAGCATAACAAAAGCCTATAATTCTTGCCTTGAAGACACACACATTGCATTGTAATTGGATGGAAAGACAGATGCTTTCAAATTACTACCAATTTTGTACGCATTAAATTTGCAGAGGATAGAGAAAGTTAAGCGGAACTTTGGCTATATTGGAAATTATTTGAAACTAGCGACCCACTCCAGCTTTGCTTGGATAAGATCTAGTAGGATTACTTGGATTTAAGATAGTTGAAAATCATTTATTTTACCAATATTTAGTTTTTTTTTAAAAATATATTAAGTACAGTCTAGAAACAACATGGAATTGCTTTCTATCTGTTCGTAAAGTTTTATCTTAACCGGTTCAGCCATTCCGAAGATGAATCTAAACAGACAGACAGACAAACAAACATACAAAAAATTTAAAATAGTTATTCATGTCCTAATTGTCTTCAAACAACCCCTGAACCTAGTAATAGGCAGTTACTTCGATATTACAGACAAACAAACACGTCAATTTTATTCATATGTTTAAATTTGAGTTTCGTGTGGGCGATATAACTCTTGTGCCCCGGTTAACCTACCAATACCGAAAATATCAAACTTGGATACTTCTGACTGGTGATAGACATTAAAGTCACTAGTGCGAATTTGGCAGGATCTGCGCTCACGGACTTTTGATACGTGGTTATAGTACGAATAAGACTCTACCACAGCAGCTTGATGCTGCTGTGTTTCGTATCACGAGTTTGGAAAACCGAAAACCCCTTGTAATGGAAACGAGGCATTCCATTTTAGTCCTCAAGGGTGCATTTTGATTCTTAATCGAGGATAGATATGTCTATGGGGCACAGCATCCACTTTGCTGCACACAGTGTCAGTGTGCTTTTTTGTCACAAATTTTTATAGACGGTGGTATTCACTAACACATCAGGTGGATTGTTTGCTTGTTTATCATTCTAAGATGTTAAAAAAACATTCTGATGATTAGAATGAGTGCAGTCGTTTCGAATCTGTGTTTGTCAAGGCATCGCAAAGAGTATGGGTGTCCTAAAAAAGGCAATCATTTCATTTGATATAATATATTTAGAATAATATATTCATTCATTATCATTCGATATAATATATTTAGAAACGTATTTGCAACTGTGGGTTCAAAGGATGATAAAAATAAGTAAAATATTTCTGGGTTGAAATTGAGGAATATTTAATTTAAATAGACAACCAGTGTTTGGTACAATATGTAATGATAAAGTTTTTAGCAGAACCAAACGATATAGACCCACGGCGGCGTAGAGCGCCAGACTTTGAGGGGCATTTTATAAAAAAAAAAACACTTTGAAACATTAGTAACAGAGCAAGCGTTGCAATTTATATAAAAGTATGATTTTCACGTAAATTGCTTTTGATTTTCTTAAACGTTGGAGGGACTTATATTTTTACGGATAAGATCTTAAATCCTACCTATTCCAATTCCTTCAGATCAATTTAGAGCTCAAATTGGTTTAGCTTTAACCGACTGCAGATAATCGCGTTACGACCCACGGCTCTAATTCTTGTTATCGCAGTAAGTGGAATGAAGACGACTTCGAATGATTATGAGTCAATTTGAAGAAGAAAATACACCAATATATCTTTAAGCTTTTTATCTTTACGGTTTCGACGTAATCCCCCACCTGTGTCTTAAAATTCATTATCCAAA